GTTCAGGCATCCTACTGCTGAGTTTACACCTTCACTATTGCAGGAAAACATTTTGTCCAGGAAGTTGTCCAGGAGGGATTTGTTTTTGGCCAATACAAAAAAAAGAGGTTACTACACTTTTTTCCTTCCATCTATAGCATTTTTTAACCCTTTACACTGGTGGGAATTGGCCTATATGAATAGGGCTACAATGAAATGTTTCTTACAGAAGAAATAGGAAATGCATAACCATGGTAGCAATTGAACGTTTCCAGATTATGGGAAAAGTATTAAACCGAAAGTGAGGACACAACAGTTCACCTGACACAAGACTGAATCCAAACATTACACTGTGGAATTTATGTAAATTTTACATTTACTGTACATTTCGACACATTTGTTGATAACGAAATCTGAAAATACTTTGGATACATTCAGTAACATGATAAGAATATTCCTGGAAAATGTGGGGTAACATAAGACAAATAAATGACTACAAGGGTTTGAGTGAGAGGACTAACTGATGTTTCCAAGAGGCCACACCTCTCCAAACTGTGGGTTTGAGTGAGAGGACTAACTGATGTTTCCAAGTGGCCACACCTCTCCAAACTGTGGGTTTGAGTGAGAGGACTAACTGATGTTTCCAAGTGGCCACACCTCTCCAAACTGTGGGTTTGAGTGAGAGGACTAACTGATGTTTCCAAGTGGCCACACCTCTCCAAACTGTGGGTTTCAGTGAGAGGACTAACTGATGTTTCCAAGAGGCCACACCTCTCCAAACTGTGGGTTTGAGTGAGAGGTCTAACTGATGTTTCCAAGAGGCCACACCTCTCCAAACTGTGGGTTTCAGTGAGAGGACTAACTGATGTTTCCAAGAGGCCACACCTCTCCAAACTGTGGGTTTGAGTGAGAGGTCTAACTGATGTTTCCAAGAGGCCACACCTCTCCAAACTGTGGGTTTGAGTGAGAGGTCTAACTGATGTTTCCAAGTGGCCACACCTCTCCAAACTGTGGGTTATCGCCATAGTCAATAACCAGAGATGAATGTTGACTGAATTATTTGTTTTCTACTATTTAATTAAAGACACGGCCTGTTCCTATAGAAGAAACCGAATGTAATTCTTAATTTCTTAACTCATCAACATGCTTTTTGAAAGATAGCTTTTCGTCAATCCAGATGCCCAGATATTTATAGGCAGGGACATGATCAATGAGGGCACCATCCAATGCATTCGGAAAGTATTCAGACCCCATGACTTTTCCACAGTTTGTTACGTTACAGCCTTATTCTAAAATTGATTAAATAAATAAAGATCCTCATCAATCTACACATAATGACAAAGTGAAAACAGGTTTTTAGAAATGTTTGCAAATTTATTTAAAAAAACAGAAATTCCTTATTTACATACGTTTTCAGATCCTTTGCTATGAGACTCGAAATTGAGCTCAGGTGCATCCTGTTTCCATTGATCATCCTTGAGATGTTTCTACAACTTGATTGGAGTCCACTTGTTTTAAATTCAATTGATAGGACATGATTTGGACTGTCTATATAAGGTCCCACAGTTGACAGTGCATGTCAGAGCAAAAACCAAGCCATGACGTCGAAGGAATTGTCCGTAGAGCTCCGAGACAGGATTGTGTCGAGGCACAGATCTGGGGAAGTGTACCAAAACATTTCTGCAGCATTGAAGGTCCCCAAGAACACAGTGGCCTCCATCATTCTTAAATGCAAGGTGTTTGGAACCACCCAGACTCTTCCTAGAGCTGGCCGCCCGGCCAAACTGAGCAATCGGGGGAGAAGGGCCTTGGTCAGGGAGGTGACCGAGAACCCGATGGTCACTCTGGCAGAGCTCCAGAGTTCCTCTATGGAGATGGGAGAAACTTCCAGAAGGACAACCATCTCTGCAGCACTCCACCAATCAGGCCTTTATGGTAGAGTGGCCAGACGGAAGCCACTTCTCAGTAAAAGGCACATGACAGCCTGCTTGGAGTTTGCCAAAAGGCACCTAAAGACTCTCAGACCATGAGAAACAAGATTCTCTGGTCTGATGAAACTAAGATTAAACTCTTTGGCCTGAATGCCAAGCGTCATGTCTGGAGGAAACCTGGCGCCATCCCTACGGTGAAGCATGGTGGTGGCAGCATCATGCTGTGGGGATGTTTTTCAGCGGCAGGGACTGGGAGACTAGTCAAGATTGAGCCAAAGATGAACGGAGCAAAGTACAGATGAAATCCTTGTTGAAAACCTGCTCCAGAGTGCTCAGGACCTCAGACTGGGGTGAAGGTTTACCTTCCAACAGGACAACAACCCTAAGCACACAGCCAAGACAACGCACAAGTGGCTTCGGGACAAGTCTCTGAATAAGCAATGAGTGATCCACAGTGTTGAAGGCTTTAGACAGGTCAATAAAAAGGTCCGCACAGTGTTTGTTTTTATTCAAACAATTAAGAGCATAATTTAAAACCAAAGAAGTAGCAGAGATGGTGCTGTGACCTGGTCTGGACCCTGACTGATTTCCTAGTTTAAAATGATCTAAGTTGAGTATTTACTAAGGATTCTAGAATTCTTGCTAGGCAAGAGAGTTTGGAAATGGGACGATAATTATTTAGGTCACACAGTTCACCATGTTTGTGTAGGGGGAGTATATGGGCCTCCTTCCAGACCCTGGGGAAGGTACCAGGGGGAGTATATGGGCCTCCTTCCAGACCCTGGGGAAGGTACCAGGGGGAGTATATGGGCCTCCTTCCAGACCCTGGGGAAGGTACCAGGGGGAGTATATGGGCCTCCTTCCAGACCCTGGGGAAGGTACCAGGGGGAGTATATGGGCCTCCTTCCAGACCCTGGGGAAGGTACCAGGGGGAGTATATGGGCCTCCTTCCAGACCCTGGGGAAGGTACCAGAAATAATTGTAAGGTAAAACAAAATGTGTGTATAAAATGGGGGTTGAATACTTATTGACTCAAAAAACATAATTCCACTTTAACATTATGGGATATTGTGGGGCCAGTGAAATGTTAATCAATTTTAAATTCAGGCTGTAACACAACAACATGTGGAATAAATCAAGGGGTGTGAATACTTTCCGAAGACACTGGATGCATTACTCTGCCTTCCCCTCTATCAGCTGCATGCCTGACCCTGGATTATCTCTATCAGCTGCATGCCTGACCCTGGATTATCTCTATCAGCTGCATGCCTCACCCTGGATTACATCTACCCACTAAGCTACCTGGGGCGGCAGGTAGCTTAGTGGGTAAGAGCGTTGTGCCAGTAACCGAAAGGTCGCTGGTTCTAATCCCCGAGCCGACTAGGTGAAAAATCTGTCGATGTGCCCTTAAGCAAGGCACTTAACCCTAATTGCTCCTGTAAGTCGCTCTGGATAAGAGCGTCTGCTAAATGACTAAAATGTAAAATGTAAAAAATGTAAATCTATCAGCTGCATGCCTGACCCTGGATTATCTCTATCAGCTGCATGCCTGACCCTGGATTATCTCTATCAGCTGCATGCCTGTCCCTGGATTATCTCTATCAGCTGCATGCCTGACCCTGGATTATCTCTATCAGCTGCATGCCTGACCCTGGATTATCTCTATCAGCTGCATGCCTCACCCTGGATTACATCTATCAGCTGCATGCCTGACCCTGGATTATCTCTATCAGCTGCATGCCTGACCCTGGATTATCTCTATCAGCTGCATGCCTCACCCTGGATTACATCTATCAGCTGCATGCCTGACCCTGGATTATCTCTATCAGCTGCATGCCTGACCCTGGATTATCTCTATCAGCTGCATGCCTGACCCTGGATTATCTCTATCAGCTGCATGCCTGACCCTGGAAAATAGAACAAATATTTAGTTTTCAACAGAACTTTCAGATCTTGTTATGATGAGAATTCAGGCCTGGGCCAAGGCTAGAAAAACGGACTCTGTAGCTGATTGGCAGCTTTTCAGGCAATTGAGAAATAGATATACTTCCTCATTCATGAAAGCTAAATCTAGCTACTTTCTACGTTCTATCTCAGACTCTGGGGGTGATCCGTCAACATTTTGGAAAACAGTTAATGCACTGAGGCATGGAATTTCCTCTCCTTCCCTGGCATCATTTCTGAGCAAAATGAGAGAAGTGATGCTTTAATCAGCATTTAGCTTTTTATTCTAAATAAATGGTGGTTTAACCAACCCTGGTCAGCCAGTCAACTGCCTGCCCTTCTCTCTTACCTCTAGTTGGAATGATGTAAGTTCTATCAACTTCTAGTGAATCTTTGTTTTCATTTCAACAACTTTCTACTTGTGATGTGTTAGACGCCAAATTGATGTAAAGAAAAATGCACTTGGGTTGATTTGCTTGATTCTTTCTTGCTGCATATCCACTGTATACGTGAATTGCAGCAAAATTGGTTCCTGTTTCAGTCACGTTTTTGGTCATGTTCGCATAGGTCAAACAAAAACACCCAAATGATTGGTTGACAATAGAGCCTCCCACAATGCAGCTGGTGGCTGCAGGAAGAACAACTGCAGAAACTTGTAGTCGTCTGCAGTCAAAACTTAATTACCTTTGATCACATGATTTTTGTAGTTCATGCAGTCGACATGTAAGCGCAAGTCGGACAATTTTTATCCCCATAATGCAACACTTTGAAAGGCTGTGACCAACGATGGTGAACGACTTGACAAAAGTGATCCGCTTGAACGCGTCCACTGTCTACACTGTTTCTGCTTCCTACTTCCTGCCCACACTGTTTCTGCTTCCTACTTCCTGCCCACACTGTTTCTCCTTCATACTTCCTGTCCACACTGTTTCTGCTTCCTACTTCCTGTCTACACTGTTTCTGCTTCCTACTTCCTGTCTACACTGTTTCTGCTTCCTACTTCCTGTATACACTGTTTCTGCTTCCTACTTCCTGTATACACTGTTACATCATTAAATTGTGTTATAATTATAAACGTTTACGACAGCGTGTCTTAGGGCGAGCCGTGTGTGTTTTGTAAGTCTAACGGTTTGTTGTGTGTTTCAGGGCGACATCGGCAGGTCGGGGTCTCCAGGATACAGAGGAGATGAGGGTGCCCCCGGACCAGAGGTGGGGGAACTAGTTCATCAATTTGTTTATCCATTCCGTCATCTAGTTAATACATTTATTTATCTCACACACATGCATCAATCTTTCAGGTTTTGTCAAATCTTATTTTCCGACCAGTGTGCCGTGCACCAGGTCGATATTTTTGATATTGATCAAAGTTTCTGGCTAAACTATGTCAAAGATCAGGTGGTCTGGGAAGTCTTCCTCCATTAACATCTGAACTACATTTCTCATGTTCCCGCTCTGATTTCCTATCTCTCTAAACTAAATTTCCCATCTCTCTCTTATCTAAACTAAATTTCCCATCTCTCTCTTATCTAAACTACATTTCCCATCTCTCTCTTATCTGAACTACATTTCCCAGGGCCCCAAAGGACCAAGAGGAATCAAAGGAGCTCCTGGAGACAGAGGGCAGATCGGAAACAGGGTGAGGGGGAGAGAGAGAGAACATTTGGGGGAGGGGAAAATAAAGAACAAAATAATGAGGGATGGCTGAAGTGTTCTGTCTTAACCCTAACCCTGTTTCAGGGAGAAGATGGGGCACCAGGAAATGGAACTGAAGGTTGCCATGGTTTCCAGGTACAGTTGTATTACATGTGATGTATTGCTGTTTGGGTTTATGGTAGTGTGTGTGTGCGTTGTCTGCCGTCTCTCACACATCCCTCCCCTCACTCAGGGTTACCCCGGCCCACGAGGGGACAATGGAGAGCCGGTGAGTTTACCTTTCACCTATAACCTCTCACCTCAGAATCAGCCCCAAGGCATCCTCTCACACTATATCACACTATCATAGTACTGTAGCGAGTTAGGACGGTAGCCTAACCGGAACTCAAACCTGGGTCTCTCTGGTTCAGAGGCAAGCACTCTATCCACAGTCCCAAGAGACTGAACTTTGGAAGCAGCATACCACCCTGCATCCCACTGCTAGCTTGCCTCTGAAGCTAAGCAGGGTCGGTCCTGGTCGGCCCCTGGATGGGAGACCAGATGCTGCTGGAAGTGGTGTTGGAGGGCCAGTAGGTTTAAAAAAAAAAAGAAAAAAAAAAAATCCCAGGGCAGTGATTGGGGACATTGCCCTGTGTGGGTGGCGTCTTTCGGATGGGATGTTAAACGGGTGTCCTGACTCTCTGTGGTCACTAAAGATCCCATGGCACTTATGGTAAGAGTAGGGGTGTTAACCCCCGGTGTCCTGGATAAATTCCCAATCTGGCCCTCATACCATAATGGCCACCTAATCATCCCCCCTCCTCTCCCCTGTAACTACTCCCCAGGTTGTTGCTGTAAATGAGAATATGTTCTCAATCAACTTACCTGGTAAAATAAGGGTTAAATCAAATCAATCTGTACGGAACACGGGTCACTACACTATCCTACTATCCAGTCAGCATGTTTAGAACTGTTTACTAAACACATGAACACTACTCTACCCTGGTACAGTGGGGGGAAAAAGTATTTAGTCAGCCACCAATTGTGCAAGTTCTCCCACTTAAAAAGATGAGAGAGGCCTGTAATTTTCATCATAGGTACACGTCAACTATGACAGACAAATTGAAGAAAAAAAATCCAGGAAATCACATTGTAGGATTTTTAATGAATTTATTTGCAAATTATGGTGGAAAATAAGTATTTGGTCACCTACAAACAAGTAAGATTTCTGGCTCTCACAGACCTGTAACTTCTTCTTTAAGAGGCTCCTCTGTCCTCCACGCTTTACCTGTATTAATGGCACCTGTTTGAACTTGTTATCAGTATAAAAGACACCTGTCCACAACCTCAAACAGTCACACTCCAAACTCCACTATGGCCAAGACCAAAGAGCTGCCAAAGGACACCAGAAACAAAATTGTAGACCTGCACCAGGCTGGGAAGACTGAATCTGCAATAGGTAAGCAGCTTGGTTTGAAGAAATCAACTGTGGGAGCAATTATTAGGAAATGGAAGACATACAAGACCACTGATAATCTCCCTCGATCTGGGGCTCCACGCAAGATCTCACCCCGTGGGGTCAAAATGATCACAAGAACGGTGAGCAAAAATCCCAGAACCACACGGGGGGACCTAGTGAATGACCTGCAGAGAGCTGGGACCAAAGTAACAAAGCCTACCATCAGTAACACACTACGCCGCCAGGGACTCAAATCCTGCAGTGCCAGACGTGTCCCCCTGCTTAAGCCTGTACATGTCCAGGCCCATCTGAAGTTTGCTAGAGTGCATTTGGATGATCCAGAAGAGGATTGGGAGAATGTCATATGGTCAGATGAAACCAAAATAGAACTTTTTGGTAAAAAACTCAACTCGTCGTGTTTGGAGGACAAAGAATGCTGAGTTGCATCCAAAGAACACCATACCTACTGTGAAGCATGGGGGTGGAAACATCATGCTTTGGGGCTGTTTTTCTGCAAAGGGACCAGGACGACTGATCCGTGTAAAGGAAAGAATGAATGGGGCCATGTATCGTGAGATTTTGAGTGAAAACCTCCTTCCATCAGCAAGGGCATTGAAGATGAAACGTGGCTGGGTCTTTCAGCATGACAATGATCCCAAACACACCGCCCGGGCAACGAAGGAGTGGCTTCGTAAGAAGCATTTCAAGGTCCTGGAGTGGCCTAGCCAGTCTCCAGATCTCAACCCCATAGAAAATCTTTGGAGGGAGTTGAAAGTCTGTGTTGCCCAGCGACAGCCCCAAAACATCACTGCTCTAGAGGAGATCTGCATGGAGGAATGGGCCAAAATACCAGCAACAGTGTGTGAAAACCTTGTGAAGACTTACAAAAAACGTTTGACCTGTGTCATTGCCAACAAAGGGTATATAACAAAGTATTGAGAAACTTTTGTTATTGACCAAATACTTATTTTCCACCATAATTTGCAAATAAATTCATTAAAAATCCTACAATGTGATTTTCTGGAGAAAAAAATTCTCAATTTGTCTGTCATGGTTGACGTGTACCTATGATGAAAATTACAGGCCTCTCTCATCTTTTTAAGTGGGAGAACTTGCACAGTTGGTGGCTGACTAAATACTTTTTCCCCCACTGTACGTGATGTATTAAACAGTAGTCCTACATTAACACAGGATACACTACTCTAGTGTTACTGTAACTGAAACAATGAGTCATGATGACTAGTGTAACTGAAACAATGAGTCATGATGACTAGTGTAACTGAAACAATGAGTCATGATGACTAGTGTAACTGAAACAATGAGTCATGATGACTAGTGTAACTGAAACAATGAGTCATGATGACTAGTGTAACTGAAACAATGAGTCATGATGACTAGTGTAACTGAAACTGTTTCCCAGGATGAGAATGACTTTTAGAGTAGATTTATTAATCTGGGTTTGGTGGGAAACAAACGTCAAGCCAAGCTTGCTTCCCAAATGGCACCCTATTCCCTGTATAGTGCACTACTGTTGACCAGGCCCATATAATGACGATATAGTGAAAAGGGTGCCATTTGGGATACAATCCATCTTTATCTGAGACATGACAATTTGCCAGTTGTAATTTGGTCTGGTTCGCCCAATGTCTGATTCATCAAGAGGTTTCCATGACAACTGTCTCTGACCCCTGACCTGTGACCTTCAGGGCGGGAAGGGAACCCTGGGACCCAAAGGAGATGACGGAGAGCCTGGAAACCCCGGCCTGGACGTGAGTCACCCCATCTCTCTCTCTCTCTCTTCTCTCTCCTCTCTCTCTCTCTCTCTCCTCTCTCATCTCTCTCCTCTCTCTCCTCTCTCTCTCTCCTCTCTCTCCTCTCTCCTCTCTCTCTCTCTCTCTCCTCTCTCTCTCTCTCTCTCAAATTCAAATTCAAGCTGCTTTACTGGCATGAAAAACATTGCATCAATATTGCCAAAGAAACAATGTATACATTTAAGTCATTTAGCAGACGCTCTTATCCAGAGCGACTTACAGTTAGTGAATACATTTTTTTTATACTGGCCCCCCGTGGGAATCGAACCCACAACCCTGGCGTTGCAAACGCCATACTCTATCAACTGAGCTACATCCCTGCCGGCCATTCCCTCCCCATAATAATAATAATATTAAGTACACAGATGTTATTATTCAGTGTCCCTCAGGCTGTGGCAGGCAAATAAATATTTGGCTGCAAGAGGAGCCATTGCTCCTTCGCCAATTACTATTTTTTGTTTTTCCTTTGAATAAATGTAGTAATTTCTGTGAATAATGAATCTCTTGGTGAGGAATATTTATCACAGTAAAGGAGAAAGTGCACCTTTGATTGGCTCTCTCTCTCTCTCTCTCTCTCTCTCTCTCTCTCTCTCTCTCTCTCTCTCTTCTTCTCTCCCTTTCTCTTCTTCTCTCCCTTTCTCTTCTTCTCGCCCTCTCTCTTCTTCTCTCCCTTTCTCTTCTTCTCTACCTCTCTTCTTCTCTCCCTTTCTCTTCTTCTCTCCCTCTCTCTTCTTCTCTCCCTTTCTCTTCTTCTCTACCTCTCTTCTTCTCTCCCTTTCTCTTCTTCTCTACCCCTCTTCTTCTCTTCTTCTCTCCCTATCTTTAAGTCTTGCAGCTGGTAACGCTTTATGTTCTGGACGCAGTGTTTGTGTGTATTAAAAGCTTTGAGCTGCTGCAGCTGTGTATATGTCATTGTCATGGATACCAGGAAATGAGGGGAGAGTATGTGGGTAGCTCATTCCTCTAGTTTAGCCCCAGTGATGTGTGTTATAGTTAACCTCTGCTTGGCCAAGGTTCTTTTTACTTTGGTCCTCTGGGGAGGCTGTGGGAATGAGCTCAACTTACAAGTTCACGTTTCTTCACCTAAACATCCTTACCCTTCCTGCACCATTCCCTATGCTCCAGCCTTTAGGCACCTTAACCCCAGTCCCATCCCTCAGCCCCATCCCCATCCCCTCAGCCCCCAGCCTCATCCATCAGCCCCATCCCTCAGCCCCATCCCTCAGCCCCCAGCCTCATCCATCAGCCCCATCCCTCAGCCCCATCCCTCAGCCCCATCCCTCAGCCCCATCCCCATCCCTCAGCCTCATCCATCAGCCCCATCCCTCAGCCCCATCCCTCAGCCCCATCCCCATCCCTCAGCCTCATCCATCAGCCCCATCCCTCAGCCCCATCCCTCAGCCTCATCCCTCAGCCCCATCCCCATCCCTCAGCCCCATCCCTCAGCCCCCAGCCTCATCCATCAGCCCCATCCCTTCAGCCCCATCCCTCAGCCCCATCCCTCCAGCCCCATCCCTCAGCCCCATCCCTCAGCCCATCCCTCCAGCCCCCATCCATCAGCCCCATCCCTTCAGCCTCATCCCTCAGTCCCATCCCTCAGCCCCATCCCTCAGTCCCATCCATCAGCCCCATCCCTCAGCCCCATCCCTCAGCCCCATCCCTCAGCCCCATCCCTCAGTCCCATCCCTCAGCCTCATCCCTCAGCCCCATCCCTCAGTCCCATCTCTCAGCCCCATCCCTCAGCCTCATCCCTCAGCCCCATCCCTCAGTCCCATCTCTCAGCCCCATCCCTCAGCCCCCAGCCTCATCCATCAGCCTCATCCCTCATCCCTCATTTTTTAAAATAAAACAACAACAAAAAAAGTGTTGAGAGAAAAAAGAGCAGAAGTAAAATAAAGTGACAGTAGGGAGGCTATATATACAGGGGGGTTACCGGTGCAGAGTCAATGTGACGGGGGCACCGGCTAGTTGAGGTAGTTGAGGTAATATGTACATGTGGGTAGAGTTAAAGTGGACTATGCATAAATAATTAACAGAGTAGCAGCAGCGTAAAAGGATGGGGTGGGGGGGCAGTGCAAATAGTCCGGGTAGCCATGATTAGCTGTTCAGGAGTCTTATGGCTTGGGGGTAGAAGCTGTTGAGAAGTCTTTTGGACCTAGACTTGGCACTCCGGTACCGCTTGCCGTGCGGTAGCAGAGAGAACAGTCTATGACTAGGGTGGCTGGAGTCTTTGACAATTTTGAGGGCCTTCCTCTGACTCTGATCAGGGTTGGAGGGTTAGAGGGAGAGGATCAGGGTTGGAGGGTTAGAGGGAGAGGATCAGGGTTGGAGGGAGAGGCTCAGGGTTGGAGGGTTAGAGGGAGAGGATCAGGGTTGGAGGGTAGAGGGAGAGGATCAGGGTTGGAGGGTTAGAGGGAGAGGATCAGGGTTGGAGGGTTAGAGGGAGAGGATCAGGGTTGGAGGGTTAGAGGGAGAGGATCAGGGTTGGAGGGTTAGAGGGAGAGGATCAGGGTTGGAGGGAGAGGATCAGGGTTGGAGGGTAAGAGGGATAGGATCAGGGTAAGAGGGAGAGGATCAGGGTTGGAGGGTTAGAGGGAGAGGATCAGGGTTGGAGGGTTAGAGGGAGAGGATCAGGGTTGGAGGGTTAGAGGGAGAGGATCAGGTTTAGAGGGTTAGAGGGAGAGGATCAGGGTTGGAGGGTTAGAGGGAGAGGGTCAGGGTTGGAGGGTTAGAGGGAGAGGATCAGGGTTGGAGGGTTAGAGGGTTAGAGGGAGAGGATCAGGGTTGGAGTGTAGGAGGATCAGGGTTGGAGGTTAGAGGTAGGATAGGGTTGGTAGGGTAGAGGTAGAGGATCAGTGTTGGAGGGTTAGAGGGAGAGGATCAGGGTGGAGGTTGAGGTTAGAGGGAGAGGATCAGGGGGTTGGAGGTGTTAGAGGGAGAGGATCAGGGTTGGAGGGTTGAGGGGAGGATCAGGGTTGGAGGGTTAGAGGGAGAGGATCAGGGTTGGAGGGTTAAGGGAGAGGATCAGGGTTGGAGGGTTTAGGGGAGGCGGAGAGGATGGCAGGGTCAGGGTGAGGTTGAGAGGTTCAAGGGTTAGGGTAGGGTTAGGGTTAGAGGGAGAGGTCAGGTGGGTTTGAGGTGAGAGGGATCAGGGTTGGAGGGTTTAGAGGGAGTAGGATCGGGTTGGAGGGTTAGAGGGAGAGGTCAGGGTTGGAGGGTTAGAGGGAAGGATCAGGGTGGAGGTGGTTGAGGTTTGAGGGAGAGGATCAGGTGGGGGGTTGAGTGGTCATGGTTGAGGGTAGAGGAGGTCCAGGGTTGGAGGGTTAGAGGGAGAGGATCAGGGTTGGAGGGTGTAGAGGGAGAGGATCAGGGTGTGGAGGGTAGTTAGGAGAGTGTCGGTAGATCAGGGTGAGGGTTAGAGGTTAGGGAGAGGATCAGGGTTGAGGGTTAGAGGGAGAGGAGTCAGGGTTGGAGGGTTAGAGGGAGAGGATCAGGGTTGGAGGGTTAGAGGGAGAGGATCAGGGTTGGAGTGTTAAGGAGGGTAGTAGAGGGTTAGATGGGAGGTCAGGGTTGGAGGGTTAGAGGGAGAGGTCAGGGTTGGAGGGTTAGGGGAGAGGATCAGGGTTGGAGGGTTAGAGGGGAGGTTGAGAGGGTTAGGGAGAGGTAGGGTTGGAGGAGAGAGGATCAGGGTTGGAGGGTTAGAGGGAAGGGATCAGTAGGTTGGAAGTCAGGTTGGAGGGTTAGAGGGAGAGGATCAGGGTTGGAGGGTTAGAGGGAGAGGATCAGGGTTGGAGGGTTTAGAGGGAGAGGTTCAGGTTGGGGGTTAGAGGGAGAGGATCAGGGTTGGAGGGTTAGAGGGAGAGGATCAGGGTTGGAGGGTTGAGGGAGAGAGGATCAGGGTTGGAGGGTTAGAGGGAGAGGATCAGGGTTGGAGGGTTAGAGGGAGAGGATCAGGGTTGGAGGGTTAGAGGGAGAGGATCAGGGTTGGAGGGTTTAGAGGGAAGAGGATCAGGGTTGGAGGGTTAGAGGGAGAGGATCAGGGTTGGAGGGTTAGAGGGAGAGGATCAGGGTTGGAGGGTTAGAGGGTTAGAGGGAGGGGATCAGGGTTGGAGGGTTAGAGGGAGAGGATCAAGGGTTGGAGGTTAGAGGAGAGGATCAGGGTTGGAGGGTTAGAGGGAGAGGATCAGGGTTGGAGGGTTAGAGGGAGAGGATCAAGGGTTGGAGGTTAGAGGGAGAGGATCAGGGTTGGAGGGTTAGAGGGAGAGGATCAGGGTTGGAGGGTAGAGGGAGAGGATCAGGGTTGGAGGGTTAGAGGGAGAGGATCAGGGTTGGAGGGTTAGAGGGAGAGGATCAGGGTTGGAGGGTTAGGGGAGGGAGGGTAAGGGTTGAGGGTAGAGGATCAGGGTTGGAGGGTTAGAGGGAGAGGGTCAAGGGTAGGTAGGGGTTAGAGGAGAGGATCAGGGTTGGAGGGTTGGAGGTAGGGAGAGGATCAGGGTTGGAGGGTTAGAGGGAGAGGATTCATGGGTTGGAGGGTTAGAGGGAGAGGATCAGGGTTGGAGGTTAGAGGGAGAGGATCAGGTTGGAGGGTTTTTGAGGGAGAGGATCAGGGTTGGGTGAGGTGTTAGAGGGAGAGGATCAGGTTGGAGGCGGGAGATCAGGTTGGAGGGTTAGAGGGAGAGGGTCAGGTTGGAGGGTTAGAGGGAGAGGGTCAGGGTAGGAGGGTTGGAGGGAGAGGATAGGGTTGGAGGTTAGAGGGGGAAGGATCAGGGTTAGGAGGTTAGAGGGAGAGGATCAGGGTTGAGGGTTAGAGGGAGAGGATCAGGGTTGGAGGGTTAGAGGGAGAGGATCAGGGTTGGAGGGTTAGAGGGAGAGGATCAGGGTTGGAGGGTTAGAGGGAGAGGATCAGGGTTGGAGGGTAGAGGGAGAGGATCAGGGTTGGAGGGTTAGAGGGAGAGGATCAGGGTTGGAGGGGGAGGGGGAGAGGATCAGGGTTGGAGGGTTAGAGGGAGAGGATCAGGGTTGGAGGGTTAAAAGGGAGAGGAAACAGGGTTGGAGGGTTAGAGGGAGAGGATCAGGGTTGAGAGGGTTAGTAGGAAGATCAGGGTTGGGGGGGTTAGAGGGAGAGGATCAGGGTTGGTAGGGAGAGGATCAGGGTTAGAGGGGTTTTGAGGGAGAGGATCAGGGTTGGAGGGTTAGAGGGAGAGGATCAGGGTGAGGTGGTCAGGGTTGGAGGTTAGAGGGAGAGGATCAGGGTTGGAGGGTTAGAGGGAGAGGATCAGGGTTGGAGGGTTAGAGGGAGAGGATCAGGGTTGGAGGGTTAGAGGGAGAGGGTCATGGAGGGTTAGAGGGAGAGGTCAGGGTGGAGGTGTTAGAGGGAGAGGATCAGGGTTGGAGGGTTAGAGGGAGAGGATCAGGGTTGGAGGGTTAGAGGGAGAGGATCAGGGTTGGAGGGTTAGAGGGAGAGGATCAGGGTTGGAGGGTTAGAGGTGAGAAAGGATCAGGGGGGTTAGAGGGGAGGGATCGGTTGGAGGGTTTAGAGGGAGAGGATCAGGGTTAAGGGAGAGGGCAGGGTTAGAGGTTAGAGGGAAGATCAGGTTGGAGGGTTAGAGGGAGAGGATCAGGGTTGGAGGGTTAGAGGGAAGAGGATCAGGTGTTGGAGGGTTAGAGGGAAGGATCAGGGTTGGGGTTAGAGAGAGAGGGATCAGGGTTGGAGGGTTAGAGGGAGAGATTTAGGGTTGGAGGTTAGAGGAGAGGATCAGGGTTGGAGGGTATAGAGGGGTTAGGGGGGAGAGGATCAGGTGGAGGGTTAGAGGGAGAGGGTCAGGGTTGGAGGGTTGGAAGGAGGGGGATCAGGGTTGGAGGGTTAGAGGGAGAGGATCAGGGTTGGAGGGTTAGAGGGAGAGGAGGAAGGGTTGGAGGGTTAGAGGGAGAGGATCAGGGTTGGAGGGTAAGAGGTTGAGGGTTGGGGGTTGGAGGGAGAGGATCAGGGTTGGAGGGTTAGAGGGAGAGGATCGGGTTGGAGGGTTAGAGGGAGAGGATCAGGGTTGGAGGGTTAGAGGAGAGGATCAGGTGGAGGGTTAGAGGGAGAGGATCAGGGTTGGAGGGTTTAGAGGGAGAGGATCAGGTGTTGGAGGGTTAGAGGGAGAGGATCAGGGTTGGAGGGTTGAGGGAGAGGTCAGGGTTGGAGGGTTAGAGGGAGGAGTAGTCAGGTTGGAGGGTTTAGAGGGAAGGTCAGGGTTGGAGGGTTGAGGGAGAGGATCAGGGTTGGAGGGTAGAGGGAGAGGATCAGGGTGGAGGGTTTAGAGGGAGAGGATCAGGGTTGGAGGGTTAGAGGAGAGGATCAGTGGTTGGAGGGTTAGAGGGAGAGGGTCAGGGTTGGAGGTGTTAGAGGGAGAGGACTCAGGGTGGAGGTTTGATGTTAGAGGGATGGGATCAGGGTTGGAGGGTTAGAGGGAGAGGATCAGGGTTGGAGGGTTAGAGGGAGAGGATCAGGGTTGGAGGGTTAGAGGGAGAGGATCAGGGTTGGAGGGTTAGAGGGAGAGGATCAGGGTTGGAGGGTTAGAGGGAGAGGATCAGGGGTGGAGGGTTAGAGGGAGGGATCAGGGTTGGAGGGTTAGAGGAGAGGATCAGGGTTGGAGGGGTTAGAGGGAGAGGATCAGGGTTGGGGTTAGAGGAGAGGATCAGGGTTGGAGGGTTAGAGGAGAGGATCAGGGTTGGAGGGTTGAGGAAGGGAGAGGATCAGGGTTGGAGGTTAGAGGGAGAGGTCAGGGTAGGAGGGTTGGAGGGAGAGGATCAGGTTGGAGGGTTAGAGGGAGAGGATCAGGGTTGGAGGGTTAGAGGGAGAGGATCAGGGTTGGAGGGTTAGAGGAAGAGGATCAGGGTTGGAGGGTTAGAGGGGCTAAGTTCTCAAAGAGTAGTCAGTACTACAGTCCTAGTGAGAGGCAGTATACAGTAGTCAGTAGACAGTAGAGTCCACTTGGTTTGAGTTAACTGTATCATTATCTCTGGGGTCAAAGGTTACTCATCAGTTGTCTGTCTCACTTTCTCACACAACACTTTGTCAAAGTTCCACTACCTGTAGTGTGTGTTACTAACCCTCTACCTGTCTCTCCTCTGCAGAACGACTCCCCAGGACTCCCAGGGAACAAAGGAGCCAAAGGTCACCGAGGACCTGAAGGAAACCCGGTAAGACAGAGAGAGAGAGATCAATCAGATGTATTTTATAAAGCCCTTTTTACATCAGCAGTTGTCACAAAGAGGCACAGTGGCTAGGAGTAACTATCTAGATGGAAGGAACCTAGACAGGAACCAGCCTCTGAGGGCTGGCCCGGCCGATGGATGGATGGATAGAGATTCTCTCCTCCTTTCTATCTATATATATATAGCATATAATATATATATAAGATATATACTATATATATATTATATAGATAGATATGATATTAGATATACTCTATATATTATAATTATAGATATATATATATATATTACTATATATATAGAGAGAGAGAGGCGAGGAGCGAGAGAGAGAGAGAGAGAGCGAGAGAGAGAGAGAGAGAGCGAGAGAGAGAGAGAGAGCGAGAGAGAGACAGAGGACATGAGACAGAGAGAGAGCGACAGAACGGGAAGAGAGCGAAAGAGACAGAGAGAGAGCGACAAGAGAGACGAGAGAGCGTCAGAGACCCTCGAGAGCGACAGAGAGAGAGAGAGAGCGGACAGAGAGAGAGAGAGGAGAGACCGAGAGAGAGAGAGAGACGAGACAGGAGAGAGAGAGAGACAGAGAGAGAGAGAGAGAGATGCACTCACTGTAGCACTTGGAGATTTATTTTTTTAACGCTTTATAAATTCAACATATTATTATTATGATTTAAAGAGAGACAGAGAGATGGTGTGAGAGAGGGGGTGCAGTCTCCCCCCTCCTCCATTTTCCCCTGGCTAGTGGCTAGGCTGCATATCTCTAGGATAAACAGTTTTGAGTTATGTGTTTGTGGGAAGAACACTAAGCTCAGCCTACAATTAACTGGCATGTGCGTGCGTGTGAAAGTGTGGTTGTATCCTCTTGGTCAAGAGAAAATGCTCCTAAATTGAATTTTGTCTGCTTGAAACAAAACAAATGGGAGTGAGAGTGATAGACAGAGGGAAAGAGAGAGACACTATTGAAAGACCCTGTTGTTGTATTTGAGAGAGGGAGAGTTAAACGTTTTCATCTGTCATTCTGCCCGTTGGAAGCTGTGCTCTCCACAGAACATCTGTTGTGTCATTATCTCAATTGGTAGAGCACGGCGCTTGTAACGCCAGGGTAGTGGGTTCGATCCCCGGGACCACCCACACGTAAAAATGTATGCACACATGACTGTAAGTGGCTTTGGATAAAAGCGTCTGCTAAATGGCATATTATTATTATTATTATTATTACTATTATAACAATACTATTACAGTAGGCCTAGTACACTAGCCTATTAAATCTCTGTCCTGCACACATTAATGAACCATCATCATTGCGTGTTCTCTCCTAGCTTCATGGTTTGAAAGAGGCGTGTAATTCCAGTCCATATGTTAGGCCTACTGTCTGCAACGCCCAATCACAGACACCATCCTATATTCAAGAGTCATTCCCCCCCCCCCAGCCCTGCCCCGTTCTTTACGCTGTCTGACCGCCATTGGACTAGTATATATGGTTTAAATTGCTAGTTGGGCCATGGGGTGGGGGCATTCCAATGAGTTGGGTCCGGGGCTTTTGGAAGTGAATCTGTAGTGTTTATACCCAGCTTAAGGTACAATGTAGGTACGGTACTGTATTGTATGATATGTATGCACTCACTAACTGTAAGTGGCTCTGGATAAGAGCGTCTGCTAAATGACTCACTAACTGTAAGTGGCTCTGGATAAGAGCGTCTGCTAAATGACTCACTAACTGTAAGTGGCTCTGGATAAGAGCGTCTGCTAAATGACTAAATCAATGTCAAATGTATAGCCTTCAAACACCGCTTCCAGCTGCCACCTGGCGACTATTCTAAATATTCAATATTCATTCAAATCCTCCTGCTGTAGGATTATTTTCCTCCTGCGACTAAATGGGTCATATTAAGATCTGACATCTGTTGTGTCCCTATAAGGTGATGCATGGCTCACTCCTCTCCTCTCTCTCTCTCCGTCTACAGGGACCAGTCGGGCCTCCCGGACCTGCAGGAGCTGATGTGAGTCTAAATTAAAGTTTTTCCTCTAAACCCTAACTCTGACTCAAAACTAATCCCGCCATTTCAGAGTACTACTATATTAGGAGTCTATAACACTTCATCAGGTTATATACTAACGCTACAGGAGTAGATTATGAACTAGAAACTTGTGTCAACTTGCGGTTAAATACTGTACACTGTAAAACATTTATGGTCTCTTATCCATTTTAGAATGAGGCTGTAACGTAACAAAATGTGGAAAAAGGTTAAGGGGTCTGAATACTTTCTGAAGGCACCGTATACTGTACTGTCTGTAGCTTGAATCCAGTTGGTTATATATACTGTACTGTCATTACTGTCATCTTATGAGGTTATATACTGTACTGTACAATACATGATATATCATTACTGTCATCTTATGAGGTTATATACTGTACTGTACAAATATTGAGTAAATAAGAGTATGCAAAGCTGTCGTCAAGGCAAAGGGTGGCTATTTGAAGAATCGCAAATATAAAATATATTATGATTTGTTTAACATTTTTTTGGTTTCTACATGATTCCATATGTGTTTTTTTAATAGTTTTGATGTCTTCACTATTATTCTACAATGTAGAAAATAGTAAAAATAAAGAAAAACCCTGGAATGAGTAGGTGTGTCCAAACTTTTGACTGGTAGTGTATATATACGTATACACTATACATTTATAAAACGTTACTGTTATCAACAGGAATGTGAGATTCTGGATATCATCATGAAGCTTTGCTGTAAGTTATCCTCCCACACACACACACACACACACACACACAACACACACACACACACACACACACACACACACACACACACACACACACTGGAATGACTTACATTGTTTTTGTGTTGTGTTTTTTTTTTCTACAGCGTGCTGTGGTGAGTCCATCCCATCTTCTCATTGGCTTCTGAGTTTATCAGAACTTTCTAATCACAAATACGCCCATACTCTGTCTAATGTCTGTCTGTCTAATGTGTCTGTCTGTCTAATGTCTGTCTGTCTAATGTGTCTGTCTGTCTAATGTGTCTGTCTGTCTAATGTGTCTGTCTAATGTGTCTGTCTGTCTAATGTCTGTCTGTCTAATGTGTCTGTCTGTCTAATGTCTGTCTGTCTAATGTGTCTGTCTGTCTAATGTCTGTCTGTCTAATGTGTCTGTCTGTCTAATGTCTGTCTGTCTAATGTCTGTATGTCTAATGTCTGTCTGTCTAATGTCTGTTGTCTAATGGTCTGTATGTCTGTCTGTCTAATGTGTATGTCTGTCTAATGTGTCTGTCTGTCTAATGTCTGTCTGTCTAATGTGTCTGTCTGTCTAATGTCTGTCTGTCTAATGTGTCTGTCTGTCTAATGTCTGTCTGTCTAATGTCTGTCTGTTTAATGTGTCTGTCTGTCTAATGTGTCTGTCTGTCTAATGTGTCTCTCTGTCTAATGTGTCTGTCTGTCTGTCCTGATGTAGAGTGTAAGTGTGGGCCTCTGGACCTGGCGTTCATCGTGGACAGTTCTGAGAGTATCGGCTCCACTAACTTCGCTCTGGCTAAAGACTTCATCATCACTGTCATAGACCGCCTTATGAAGGACCAGCAAGTCCGCGTGAGTAACACACACACACACACACACACACACACACACACACACACACACACACCACCGTCATAGACCACCTTATGAAGGACCAGCCAGTCCGCGTGAGTAACACACACAGACATTTGAATCAACAAATCACATTACAGTCAAGAAAGACTCAAATACTGTATTTCAAAGGTCACAGATACATGAACACTCATGGATACAAAAAGTGTGTGTTTGGTTTATTTAACCCTTATTTTACTGTTTTATTTAACTCTTATTTTACTGTTTTATTTAACTCTTATTTTAGTGTTTTATTTCACCTGTATTTTACAAGGTAAATTGACTGAGAACATATTCTCATTTACAGCAACGACCTGGGGAGTAGTTACAGGGGAGAGGAGGGGGGATGATTAGGTGGCCATTATGGTATGAGGGCCAGATTGGGAATTTAACCTGGACACTGGGGT